GGATATAATTGATATGGCTGTAGTGAGAAGAAGCGTTGGAATGGACAGTAGTGAGATGGTTGTTTTACAATCTATCTGCGGAAGTATTGCTTCCTTATATATACATTCAGTACCCCAGTCCTGATCACGCACTCACCACAGGTGCTTCCTACTTCTGTCACAGTAACCGCTTCCATAGCCCCTACCAATATCTCCTGTCACAACATATTATTGACACTGGTTGCTAGTGTGGAACTCCCGGGATTGCAGAGCTATACACCGTCGTCACATTATATGCTGTTGCCCCTCGGTAGCCATCAGAGTGATGTGCACCTCAGTCTAAACGCATTGGTCCACCAGGCAGCGCTCGGATGTAGGGATTTTGCCAGAGTGATTAGGTACTTAGCTGTGCTGCCAGTGCCCTAATCTCATCTAGCTTACTGCGGCCGAGTGTCCGAGTGCCGCGATGGTGGGAGCCCGATGAGGCTCGATCGGAGCTGACCCGAGGTATTCACAACAGGAAGTAGCGAGGGCGAAGCCACCAGGGCAGTGTGACGGAAACCGAGTTGGTAATGAATAAATTGATTGATTAAACTATATGAAGAGAAAAGAAATCTCTAGCGACTACTAACAGGTACTTATAACGTTTGGTCCGCTTCGTGAACCTGCTGACTGATAACTTCTCCCTAGGCCTAATACTTGCTACCGAGCCAAGTATTATCAGGAGCCATTACGCTATGATGTTGCTTCGACCTCCTGGCTAGTAGTGCCATTTCATCTCTATTTGCCCATCCTTCCTCTTTCAGTCTTATCGTAATTATTCCTAATTAAACGCTTAGGTTTCCTCCTAAGCTAAAACAACGGTCAAACCGTAACAGGCAGTAAGCACTGGCGTCCATGCCTCTAGGTAGTTTAGTAGGTAGTAGGGACCTAAGTCAAGCTTGGCGACCCGACAGAAAAAAAATAGAAAACAAACAAACTGAGGCTGATTAATAGATCACTCAGTAGTAAAAGAATACGTTTCGGGAAACTGGATCACTGGTGGCTGCAGAGGGCGTATTTAATACAGAGGACTTCCTGTGGTAAATCTCTATAGAAAAATTGTTGGAAAATATAATCTGTACAAAATTACATGTACATATATGATGAGGTAAAGAAGACTTGATATTTTACAACTATGGGAACATTGGACTTATATATACATCTTAGGGGAGAAATTCCCACTAGTCTCATGTGCCTGTCAAACCTAGTGATGACCAGCCACCTCTCATCTACCTTGATGAGCCAAGATACACTGTAATATGTAAATATCCAAACGTATATGCAACAGTAGGCGCAATTAGCGCACTCGTGACATGTGTGAGATTCCGAGCGCGCGTTGTATACTTATTATACAATGGGTGTGGGTGTAAGATTGGGGTGATATCACGTGGTGTCTCGTGGCTCCTAACTACAACGGATCTTGTGTAGAGCTTGAGACTAATACGTGAAATCTATATCCTTCAAGTGTCGGAAGTCTATGTGTCTATATACATTGATTACTCCTTACTCCTCAACGCTAGTAGATCTACTGCTGTGGTCGCGGGCTGTGACCGCGGGCTCTGACAGTGCGATTTGCTGTGCGTGAGGTCATAGGATAACTACGATTACGTGTGTGTGCCGTGTTTCCTACATCTAGCTAATTCGTGACCTATAGATCTATCCGGGATCCACATGTGTAGAGAGAGTCGATCTTGTCGGGAACCTGAGACGAAACAGATGGTGGTTGAGTCCTAAATTCGAGAGTCAGAATCTCCAACATGTACAAGTGATACTAAGCTCTTAGGAACGTCTTAATAACAGTCGTACTGAGACTATTTGATTCCTGCAATATGTGCTAGTACCAGTACTGTAGATAGAGATATAATTACGACAACTGTGACAGTCATAATACAATAGGGCCAGCTTCGGTATCTATATATCCAATAGGGCTCGCTTCCTGTAAACATTTCGCCCCTAGGTTCGTTGAACATGCTGACAGCTGTTCAGTCTTTAAACCTTCTCCAAAAAGACGAAGCATAACGTACATATCCAATCTTTAAAGAGTTGAGAAAAGTAAGAATAATAATACAATATCATTATTTGGTGTCCTGGGCCTCACCAATATTTTGCCAAATTAATCTATTAGAAGATCAATTTACACGAGACTACCGGGACTTCCTCCCACTGTTGCCGTAATGATCTGACTCCTTTTCTCAACCCCCACTACCAAAGCAAATGTAGCGCGCCCTGTTTTTAATGTGGAGGTAGCATTAACCAAAACTGTTATCTTAGCGCTCACAAAAACCTCGTAGTCGGAAAACCTCAAAAATGGTCAGTCTCAGTGTGTCCTATGTTGAACTCTTCCATTTCTTGATTTAAGTCCCAACTGCCTATCCTCACTCAAATTTTCAAGTGCAATTGCAGCAAAGGTCCCCAGTAATCCAAGGTCCAAGCTGTGTTTATTATGAATTAATTTATCCCTAGCGGCTACACATAGTATCGTATGAATATAGTAGATGGTAGCCGATGATTAATGGGGGGCTCTTTTTACAATTGGAGAAGCTCCTTGATCGATTGTTGGGACGAGATGGAGTTAAAGGACTCGTATGAGAGTGCTAGGACTGACACCGATGAGACTTTATCACTGGTAGGTATGCTTGTGTTCATTTCCGATCATGATTTGGACACTATCCTTCTAGGCTATCCGAAATGTTCAGGTCATACTGAGCGTTAATACCTGCACTACCTGAAGGTAAGGATACCACATTTGCTAGCATACTCACTCATGGCTTGGTAAGTAGGCTTATTAATAGAATATCTTCGTGGTGAAGATGATTTCAAGTTTTTGGCTATGGGCATAAATTTCAAACATTCTTGTTATTCATCTAGCCTAGTCCTGTTTAAAATAATCACGTTCTTAACCAGCCTGAGAGCACTAGCATATTAAAGTATGACTAAACAAAGTTCTGTACGCGATTAAATATTTGGATCATGAGAGTGCGCCATAATCCGAATATGCGTTTGCCTGTGTGAGGTATAGGAGGAGGTAAGTTAAGCGACTTTATGGACAAGAGAAGGCTGCCTCAAACAGAGGTATCCGGCTATCTAAATCACTTAAAATTACGTTGACCCAGCTCTAATTTGATCATTCCTCACTTAGAGCGACATAATAAACGATTGTGAAGTTTTTGAAGACAATAAAAGAGATAGAAGAAAATCTCGTTATTTTAGGTAAACCTCCACAATGTCTACATTCTCTTCGTCACCAAGTTCTGTATCCTCTATGTTTAAATTGGGATCTAATATATCACCATCAAAATGTAGAGATATACTGACATCATCAGAGATAGCCTTTGCTTTTCGGAAAGCGTCTATTAATTTCGATACTGTTGTTGTTGGCCTAACAGCAAGCTTGAACGGCTCCATACCTTTTGCCTTCATAATAATTTTGCATTTAGGGGAAGATTGCTTTTGAAGTTTTATTCTTTCATCATTCTCATCGCAGCTTTCGATAAGTGCCCGATTAGTCCTGATTTGGCTCTCATGGGCCCTAAGAGTTTCTTCTGTCCAAGCTTCAAGGTGGATATTACTACTAGAGTGGACAGCAGCCTCATTTGTAAGAGACCCACCGCTAAAGTTTATACAAAGTCCCAAAGAATCGCAAGTCGTCACATCAAATAGACGTTTTCCCCGCCAGGTTAAGAAAACAATGTCTCTTAATGAGCGACCTTCGGCGTCTACATTGATAGGTTGCTTTTCGCACCAGATAAGCCTTGCCTCCTTAAGCCTTTGACACAGCTTCCTCTTGATCCTCAAGGGCTTTGTATTTTCTATAACCGATGTAATTAAAATTTCAACCGTTATATTAAGATCTGTAGTAGCACTGTTTTCTGTCTCAAAAATATCGTCAATAGCATTGACAAATCCTCCGATATCTCTCGATGATTGTTGTTTGGTTTTATTTAGCCGCAAGAAAGCCTTGTGTTTTTCACGATCTCGTGCCTGTTGAATGAACTCGGAGAACTCCTCATCGGATATATCGTTTTGATTTTCAAATTTGGGACTCTGTTGACGAGAGACCAAGCCAGTTTGATTATCTGCAAGAATGGGACTTGTAATAGCGTTTTTTTTTGACATTTGAGCCTTTGAAACTACACTGCTTTTTTCAACTCTTTCATCTTTATCATCGAGAATGATACATTCGCGTTCTTTGGGGTATGTAACATCACCGAAGCTTTTTTCTCGAACTTGCCCGTTAGTTCCGTCTGAATCAATGTTGTGTCTTTTTTAAATTAGCCAAAGATCTCATTTCATCGGGTCGGCTAACATTCCTTCTTGACCTCACATTGACTACACAACTAGTTTCACCCGTGGGTACTTCATTATTATTTTCGCAAGCATCAACTCTCTTTTTCTTTTCTGGGGGTGTTGCCTCTCGCAGCTCTGCACTACCAGAAAGTCTTTTACGTTCCACTTGCTCTAATTTAAGTTGGCGCTTTTTTTCTTCTTCTTCAAGTAACTGCGGATAAACACTCTTTGCTCGACTAAAGAAGTCGACTGGATCCTTAGATACACTTACCTTTGCCAATGCTTGTTTGCTAAATAGCGATCGTTTTTTTGGAGCAGGCGTGCTGACGACCGAGTCAGCTTTGTTTGGGTCTTGATTCATCTGCTACGGTTTCGCAGTGACTCCAACATGTGAAATACTGAATTTTTTGGGGATGCAAAAGAAAGCGTAGCGTAAGGCTGGTGAAATTAAGGCTCGCCACTATGAGTCAAGTTTCAAGCTTTACACTGACTCGCATGTTATCGTTGTAATCAATTACGAACAGTCGCATATAATAAGCACAGACAATCGGGTTGATCGCAAGAACTAACTTCAGAGCTCAGGTTCTTAAATAACTAAAATCTACCAAACTACAGAGACAGGTAAAAAGATATTCAATCCCAACGAATAAATATCAAATTTCCTTCCAAACCCCACTCAAGTGCTCCAGAACATGGAGAACGGTCAGTTAGCTCAGAGCGGAGGTAATGATCCCTCTGTGTTTCTTAGTGAAATTATTGGAAACTCAGTAACAGTCAAACTTAATAGTGGGGTTGTGTACAAAGGTATTTTTAGCTCTAGCTTTATTAGCTAAAGCTAATACTATCTCACAGGTGAGCTTGTGGCGATTGATGGATACATGAATATTTCTCTCGAAAAGTGTGAAGAACACGTCGAGGGAGCTAAAAAATCATATGGCGATGCATTCGTACGAGGCAACAATGGTCAGTAATCCGAATAGTGGCTGCTTCATTGATAATTCTGATTGATTTCAGTGATGTATATTTCTGCAGATTGAATGAAGCAATTCAATCGTTTGACTCAGTTATTTCTACGACTTCGCCTTAAGTTAATTCTGAATTACCGGGAGTGTACCATCACACAGAGCCTAAATTACATGCATTATACTAGTTTCCATTTGATATCGGGTGCATGCAAATTAATTTTTCTCTGCGATGATGTGCCGATCTGAAAATGGTCCTTGTGTTGAATTGACGAGACGCGCGCTTAGTTATTATTGACAATCTTTAGTTAATTCAAAATAAAATAAAACCAACATCTACAATTCAAAAAGTCTGCTGGCAAAGACGAATTCTTCACCTTCCAGTGGTGCCAGTGTAATCGCTCAGTATGCTCTGCATATCTGGGATAGCCAAGAAGAATCGCATCCGCATCGAAGTCGAAAGCAAGCTCAAGCATATCTAAAGTCGACGATTTCTCATCACTGTGGGACCTATCATTCTCACGCGAGTCCTCCCGCTCAATCATACTACACCACCTCGCCTGAAGTATCGATCATGGCGTTACTCCAACTACAATGGAGAATTTGCCTCATCAAAAACTGGCCATCTCTCACTACAAATTTACGATGCTACGTATACCCGCGAGGAGGAAATTGAACCATAAACTACAAAGCTCGGGTCTTGGTCTATGAGGGACCATTGCTCTGAAGGGGACTCAGATCTTGAAGGAGAATATGCAGCCGAAACGTGTGACGAGCGAGTGAAGAGGTCACAAATGAGCATGCTGGAACTCACATCTTTCGAGTATTTTCGACTCTAGGGTACTTGTGCGCGTTGAGGCTAGAATTTGGACAGTGCTAACGACATTTTTGCAACAGGCAACGATGGAAGATGTTGTAGTCCGCCTCCTGGTCTTCATCTTTCCAAATCAAAGTCTGGGTGGCTTAGACACCTACCTCATTTGATAAAGGGAGGACTTTGAGGTCATATCTCACGCGGCAGCTATATACAAGATGCCAAAGGCCTTTTCTATTTTCACTTTGATGGGTATTAGCGGTTGAGGGAAGGTTGAGAGTTCCTAGCACAGAGTTCTCGAGTGGTATTAGCAAATGCATCTACTACATGTGTTAAGGCGTACGCTAACAACATTGAAGATCGCCATCTTTCGATAGTAATGTAGTGATAACTACGACTATAATTACTAATGAAGGATACTTTGAGATAATTGAATTGGCGAGGTGCAAGGTGGTCAAAGGCAATATAGGACAAGTATAATCGGAAGAGACTAATCAAAAAGTCAGGTCACGGAGTAAGCGAAGTAGTCTGCTAAGTCAAGATCGAATGGAGTTCAAAGAATGTTACAAGTAGTAAAAGATTAAGTATATCGGATTTTGAGGACGTAAAATTATTGTCATCTTGCCTGAATGTAAATACACGTAGGATTAAATCAGTGCAAAACGAATGTTACAAATGTAAAGTTTATATTGTATCTCGTGTCCTTATCTAAAATCATTACGAACGTGGAGTTCGTGGTTATTGGCCGAGTCATCAAGGCAATTACTCAGCCACAGACAGATACACAACGCTCAGTGCATAGCAAATAGAGTTACTTTCCGATATATAACTCAATATAAACTAGAGCACTCAAGTCTCGGATTTCGTTCTCAAGGACCTCTCCCAAATTATGGCGACTTGTTCTTCATCCCAAGCCAGCCCTCGTCCGTAAATATTCACCTAGGGAAACCTCTCGTGAGTCCAGAGTTGTCCAAATATACCTTAATTATCCATTTACTACTCTCTTCATAAAATGTGGTCTTGGTTGTCTCCTTCTCAAGTGGAGTAGGTGCCCAGGCTACTCAAACTATACCAGAGAACACCACCAGGAGGCGAACCACAACACCTTCCATCGTCGGCTTGTTTTTATAGCTTCAGCTGCACTCTCGCAAGCGGAGTCTTGGCGTGCAAAGAAAGCTCAACTTGTAAAACCCTTACCAAAATTCGAGATCTAAAGCCCGTCAAGATTATATCCTTCTTCTGCATCGTCTTGTGATCTTGTCCTGATCCCTCTCACGTCCATCCCGAAGAACGATCTCTCGGATTTGTGCGCCACGCTTTGCTTCCTCCGTCGGGTGTGAATATCGGTGTGGGTGTGTATTTGGTGACCAGCTGAGGCCAGAGAAAGTCGACGAGAGGTGTGGTCATTGGAATGAGGATGTACTTGGTCGTACTTGTAGACTTGATGAGAGTTAAACAGGAGTCGATCTCGTCGAGAGAAAAATTGACAAGTTGTAGTATTTTGAATCATTGCCTCGTGGGCCAATTTCTTTGATATTGCGAAATTTGAATGAACTTGGCTCTGGGAGAATATTTCACTCCCAGGGCCGTAGAAAACACCGCGCGTAGGTGTTCAGTCTTGCCCTCCCAGCTTCAAATCAAAAATTTTGGTTTGGAAGTCAAAACCCCCCGCCTTGTTCCCTTTTCTATAGTGTCATGGTCCACGACTAATTTATTCGGAACTTGTTTAAAGCAGAGTTCAGAACTGCAGGTAAGCTCGCGCAACAATGGGTTTCCTGCGCAAATTTTCGGAAGTTTTGAAGGCAATTGAGTCCGAGAATTTAGTGTTTAAATTCACAGTAGGACTTTAGACCTCTTATTTGACCAATTATCTAAACGGAGCTGATAGTGTATAAAGTGATTAGTGCTGGTCTTCTCTTCGTAAGCGTGAGAACTAGAGGTGTATGAGTTTTTGAATCGGTGATGATATACTGCGTAATTGCTGTAGTTCGTACGGGCTCCAGTATGCTCGCGAAGTAGATGCCCTGATAGTGCCAGCTCTGGTGGCTTGCGTGGTCGTATGAGCAGATCTAGCTTGCAATATCAAATGGGGCAAAGTTAGGCTAGAGTGACAGTTAATGGATTTGGGTAGTTGTTATTCTTAGGTTAGTATCGCGAGAGAAGCACAGGTTTCCTTTGACTGTAAGCAGGAAGCAGTTGTTCATCGTTTCATGACAGGCATTAAAAGACTAGCATGTGCAGGATAGCAGCTTAATGAGCTAAAGAAACATATCCATTTTTCATTCGCGAGTTGGCCAGAGCGTGCTAGCCGACCGAATCCATCTTTAGCTTATTTAGGCTCTCACGATCGAGCCACTAGTTATCCAGGGATCAAGAAATATTTCCTGGCGTTAGAGATTGGCTGACAACGATATCGATATCATCACTATCTACATATGCCCTCTTTAGCACATGGAATCCTTACCTATTGACGTCGTGCCTATATTTCGCGCGGCCAAAAGGTGCAAAGTTTATCGTCAGCGACAGACGCCAGACGATGACGATGCCAATGCCATTATAGGCCAAAATGAGGATAATCAGATTCCATCTGGGGTATTACAGGGCCATGAAAACAAAGAAATAGGAGATGAAGTTGGAGCAGAAACGGCTGCAGTGGAAGTAACGACACAAAATGCCGCGATCTTGATGCGTCAGCGCCGCAAGATGAGGCGAGCAGGTGGAGTTGAGTTCAAAGCAGAATTTTCCGGACCTCGTCCACTTGATTTTGAGGCACAAACAGATGTTCTAGATGAGCCCGAGCTCTCCGTATCGCAAAGGAACATTCCGGTAAAGCCGCGGTGCTTCGCTCGTCAAACTGGTGCCGTCGGCGATGTGAATAGGCATATGTAGGCATCTCTTGACAAATATTCTAAGAAATATAGCTTACAAAATAAGGATGGCATATGTTGATTCTGAACTAGAGAGACTACGGGCTGAGAGTTTTCAAGCTCATTCTATTTTATCTAAAGGATCTGTTCCTTCCTCAAGATCAAGCGACCATACGTCACAACTGGTCACAAATAAATCCACAGACGTGAAAAATGATCGGCAAAGTCACCGACAACCGGCCACTATCGGAATGCTACAAGAGATTGATCTTGGCGCTGAGGTGCGGGAACGGAATGTAAAATTGACTGAAAGGGCTAGAAGAAGGCTGGATGGTGAAATCTTCGAGGAAGAAGACGAGGGAGACCCAGGTGGTAAAGAACGGAAAGGCACCTCACTATTAGGTGCTGGTAAGAGTGGTAAGTCATGGTGGGCACTCAAGCGACGGCGAAGTGATGATATCAAAAGAGATCAACTTGTGGACCAGGTGCTTCGAGAAAATCGCCGTGAGTCTTGCCTATTAATTTATTTTAGTTCATTCTTGAAACTAACCTTGCTTGTCCAAGTTGAAATATATGACGAGTCATCAATAGAATCCTTAACCGTTGATGATAACCAAGCAGCAGATGACCGTATTGCCGAAGCATTTCGTCGCGAGTTTCTCGACACAGTCTCAGCGGCCCGTCAGAGGAAAAAAACTGTACAAGCCCAGCCTCAAGCGCGTGGCACAAGCGGAAAGAAGGAAGAGATACTAAGAGGTCCTAAACTAGGAGGTAGCCGAAGCGCTCGTGCTGCCGTTAGAGAAACTCTACTGAAGATTGCAAAAAAGTAGGCGCACTATGGGTTCCATCAATAGCATTTGTGGGAGAGACACTTCACTCTAGCAAACAAGCTACATTGCGCACCACGAAGGTAAATAAAATAATTTTATTGCCAATAGGCAAGCCGCCGTAACTTTGACAATATCAAACAAGGAACTATGATCACATGTAACTTGTGTTACAAGAGTGAAAACTTCAATCTTGATCTACAATCTGGGCATGACTTTTAACCCGGAAAAACTTTTCAAATTTTGAAACAAAATGATTTATCAAGCCTGAGGTCTGTTTACTTGGTCACGAAGATCGGTTACAGTAACGATGATAGTCGAGAAAATAAGATCAAGTAACCAATTTGGTCCCTACACAACAAGCCAATTTCGTCAGGAAGCCTCCACAATTAAGGATACAGAAGTTTTATAAAATACTGGTACCTTGCACTCTTCCTAGATGCTGCGACTCTATATGTCTTCAAATTATTCGGGTCTGACAAATATATAGCTTCCACTCCAAAACGGAATGCACTCATAATAGCTCTTGGCGACTCTTGAGATAACTATGAATCATCACAAATTAAC